TTAGTTGTTTAGTACTTTCATGTCACCGTTAGTTGCATCAATAAACTATAATCGTTTTATTTTCACCACCCGTTAGGTGAGAAACTAGGCTGTGATATGGTGATCGTATCCGGTCAGTAAAATTCCTGTAAACTCCAGCCAAATCAATCATTCAACACAGCTGTCTCTACCTGGAAAGCCTGATCGTTGGACGTCTGGTCGCTGAAGCAACTCCATCAAGTACAACTAACAGTAGCTAGTAAGAGTTTCATCTACTAATTTACCATACCTTCGTATTTTCATGACAAACTTTTAAGCACTACTTAGAGTCTATGTCTAAATGCCTTACTGCTCCTTCTTTTCTCTTTCTTAGGCATCACACTCAGTAAACAGATATAGAGCTTCTTACATTTGAAGTAAACTTAAAGGACACTTTACAAGGCCAAATCCCAAACCAAGCACTCTTCATATATATTTTATAACTACTATAAACTAAAATAGTTCTATTGCATAAATGCTTGACAGGATTAGGCTTTTAACACAATGCTTCTGGGTCAGGACCAGATGAGATTTTTCTATGACTGAAGCGTAGACTCGATGTTTATCTTTAAAGCAGATCATAAAACTGCATTCACAGTACACTACCAATAATCAAACCTGATTGTAAGCCCCCTGGTACATATGCATGAATGTACTGCTCTTTCATTGATGTATTCTGTCTGTCAACCCTACATTGCAAGCATCAAAGCTTCAAACCGATGTTGTAAATTATTATGATATCTTTAAAAATGGTATGTGCTTGCTCTGTCAGAAATATATCTTCTAGCGCCTGTTATTTGGCCACACTCATAGATCAGAAAGTGTGTCAATGAAATCACGACCTGTGCACATTGACACTCGGCTATTTAATCTGTTCTTTTACGTTTAATAAAATTACTAAGCTGCAGAATTCTCTTGGTTACCAGTGTGTTCTGTGAACACATGATAGCATGACAGTTATGGTAGAGTGGTCTAGGTAAGACACCTATCTGTGCTTTAGCTAGGAAAATTGACGAGCCAAACAATCAAAGTTTGGAACCACAAAATAACATTTAAAACCTATTTGGCCATAAAATTTTGAGCATAAGGAATCGTCAACCATACTTGTGCACAATAAAACAATTACACTCGATTAACAGTTTTTTTCTGCCATAAAACCAGAGAAAAACTTCGGGATTATTGCAGCTCAACCTGTGCTAACCACGTAATTTGGCGTGATATTTTGATATCATGATGTTTTCCTAATATCGTCATAAAGCATTTCATGACTTAACAACCATGTAATATGAATGGCAAAATTGATGAAATTATTAACAAACTCCTTGGTAAGCTGACTTACAACTATCTCTAAATTGTGTTGCTTTCTTGTGGATACATTTACCTAACATAGATGATTTCAGTACGTTTCTCTATAAATATAAGCTGTATAAGCAGTCGATCAAATCTCCTGAAAACTAAAAATATCATTGTCAAATTTACTAAGACAGTTACAGACGTTCATGGCATTATCATAGAGATGAGTTGGCGGTTGTACTTCCCTTAGTTATAACATATGTTCTCCTTGATGATCACATAAGGATCAATCACTGTTTATCATCTTCTATAGATTCATCTAGCCGAAATCATCCTGCAAATCCTTATTACCCATATTTGTGTCACGTATACTTAGTTGTTTCCAACATTTGTATTCATTAAAATACATGCACATAGGTCTCTATATTATCCCAAACTTGATACTTGCTGCTGACTTGTATACACCATCAACCATTTATTGAACCTCAAAAAATGGAGTTGAGAACGCGCCTCTCACGAAATAATTTTGGCTATATGTCCGAAATTAACATGGTTATCAATATTTTCACACATAAAAAGATTTTTGACAAGGCTTCATGTGTATTAGTAGTTGAAGTAAATTCTATCATGGATAAGAGATAATAAGGTCTAAGAAAATCTCCTTGTAACTAAACAAACCACACTAAGCTAAACAACCTAAATGGATCACTAGTTGAAATTCACCCACTCCGCGTTTAGACTTATGTTTCATCAATTGGCCTACGAATACAAATTCAATTGAAAAACAACGCATATAGATGGCATCCCGACATTGACTGACTTTCCAACTTGTACCGAAGATCATGTAGATCATTCCTGTAAAAATGGCGTGTACCTGCCCTTGCAGAAAAATATTATTATTTCTACAATATTGACAGTTTTCCATTTCCAAAAATCAAAATAATTGTACTGCCCACAAGTTAAGCCATTAACCAACGGCTATCACTATTCATCTTAATATGACCTGCCAAAATATTTATATACTGCATCATAACTATAACCCATTTTCTTTAACCCTTCAATAATGAATAATAATTACAATCATAACTTATTCTCGGATAACAGACTATTGCATGAAGCATGTCAGTTTACAGGCAAGATCAAATTGTTACAGAAGATACAGTCTTCCGTGTGGTGGAATACTCCTTTAGTCTGATATTTTGTAACATATATTGATCATAAACTTATAAGATATAACACTTCTCACATGAATTTAAATAATATCATTAAGATTCGTATTGTCAATATGACAGTTGGGGTGCTTTATAAAGAATACGTTGCGACGTACAACGGATATTTAGGAGTGGCTCCACATAAATTCGAGAACTTCTTTGAATCTTGACCTTACATACCTCTGGAACATTTGACGCATCAATGATGACGCAGGACGAGGTCACCCGTCCCATATGCGCTTTCGGTGGCATATCCTGAGAGGGCTGAAAAAGAGGGTAAGAAAACAAAACTACGAGAAGTAAAGCAGACAACATTCATGACTACTGAAGCTGAGTCGTTTGTGGAGGAGCAGTTGAGGTATAACTGCTTAGTCTAATTCTCTTATATTAAGATACTTTTTGGGCAAGAGAACTGTAATATATTAAAGAAGGTAAATGCAAATATGGTATAAGTGGATAAATAACTGAATAATTAAAGGTGGTTCAAAAAGGGTCTGAAAAAATAAGTTCACGTGTAGATTTTGAAATATAGCACTAAGACAGCATTCTGATACACAAATGATCATCTCCCTTTTTCGTCGAAGCTATTTCAGTTCATTTTTATTTTTATTGATTTTATACGGCCATGATCAAGCTTGGTGATTAGCAAATTATCTAGTTTTGCCTAGGTAGTCTTGCAAATTGCTTCATGAATAACGAAGCTTATACCACACTGAATTTTCTATGCTGGGACTCTTTAGAAGTACACAGCGTATGCAATCAATAATGAGGTTGCCAACTTGCCAATTAAGGAATTTCAGTCCAGTAACTACGAGTCTGTCACATTTTTGCACAAAGATTGCTGTTGATCTAAGTACCGTAAGATTGAAACTTTTCAAAACGAAAGAGGCACTGAGAGACAAAAACACGTGTACATATGATGGCTCGAATGAAGTCAAACCGCGAGTTTTATAAAAATAAGCAAATCAATTTATACTTCATCCTTATGCCCCTTTTAAGTGCTTTTTTAGCCAATCTTAGACTGCATTTTGATTAGAAATAAGAAGTATCAGCCGTTATTTAAGTCGGAGTCTTCCAAATGTAAACTAATCAACACATAGTTCGCACCACTGAGGGTAATGGAAAGAGCTGGAAATAAATATTATTGTCATAATCTGCTCAGCAAATTCACAGAACTCAGCTAACAATATGACTTTTTCTATGTGATCAAAATCACTGACTCTTTGGAATAGCTAGTAGGATCAAATTATCCTGTAAAAAGAAGACTATTTTGTGAAAGTCAACCGATGTAGTTGTAGCTTGCACTTCTAACAGACGAAGCATATACCAGATTAACATCTTTGACCAATATTGTACGATAGTGGAGAGAAGCTAAAAAAACAACCGATCGAATAATAGCAGTTCAGTTGGATAAAAAAATACCGATATGGGAAGTCCGTAAATCTTAAAGTATGATCAGTAAACTTGCATATTTGAATGAGGTATTCATCCGACTATACCCTGTGGACTACTTACTGAGTGATAGAGGATTAATTCACACAGGATGTCATCAACTATATCTTCTGCTGGACAAAAACTTCATGCTTATTTACCACAAGCCATTGACACTACTCATTTTGACATGAATTTTTAAGTTTTATGCAACGAATATTTTCGAAATAAACCATATGATTCCTAGGAGTAACTACATGAAATTATTAAGCTACATTTTTAAGCTATATCAAAGTTTCTGTCAAATTATCTCGCTATTACCCGATTGGTTGAATTGTGAACTGTGAAGACATATACATGTTCACTTAATGTCCCCCCATCATGAAGTTGTTATATAAAAGTTCGTATCTATATATCACGGGAGCCAAATCTTTCTCCACACCAGATGTAATGCGACCATCTCGAGTTGCTTCGACTTGATGGGTCATGAACTTCCTTTCGTTCACAACTGAGAAGTCTGACAGACATTTCTCGAGCAACCGAGTAAAGCTTGTAAAAGTATTCTGGATATTCATAAGTTGCTGTAAATTGGCAGCTGTTCCTACAAGGACTAAATCCCCTGAAAATGCAACACAAGTTGGTGTAGCCCTCTCACTACGTAAATGGATCACTATATGGCAATTACAATCTGCAACTATTCAGCCGAATGACCGCAGTATAGCAGAGAAAACTGTATTAGTGATAATCTTGCCGTGATTAATTTGTGTGTGACTTTGTATTTGTTAGAATTATTAAAAAATCTTTGACCTTCACCAGCTGGTGAACACTACCAGTTTAAGTACTAGGACAATTTATCGATAGATACTGATCACTTGAAGGAATCAACATTCTTATCAAAAAAGCAAACTAAATGATACCTTTTTAAAGTCACAAGTGATCTGAATGCTTCATGAGTACTATATTATATGCCTTGTCATAAACCTTTTCCACATTTCTATCACCAACCAATCTCCAAATCGTAGAGAAAATATTTTACATGGAAGCGAAATGTTTGTTGGAAAGTTTTGTCTGATTTCAAACGAAAAGATTCTTATATTTCTTGGGACAAAGTATGTTCGGATTTTAATTATCGTCACTGATTGTTTTCAGTTCCAGCATAATCATCGTTTCGATATCCGATGAGTTTTTCATTCGTGATACTATCGCATGGCCGGCGGTCCAACATCACTCAAACGTAAATTTTAAAAAAGGCCATTGCGATTCTGTTATCTACTCAGTTATTCAACTAAAGCCAGATTTGTACGAAATATGTGGAAAATTCGATATAAATGTACGCTGTAGTATTGTAATGAAGAAAGGGCTAGTTTGGTCGTCTTTGTTAGAAGAGCACGTGTTTCTTGGATATCTAAATAGCAGGATAATTTATGATTATTCAGGTTAGTTGATATCACAAATGCTACTGAATTTTATAGCTTATGGAATCCCACCTGTTTACCCGCTTTCTAATTAGCTGCCCATCCCGTTGTAGTAACTTTAAACACTTTACTTGAATAGTAATCACAAAAAGAAGGATGGTTTTTTCATTGCTATCTAGATAAATCAACATATTTTTATGCCAAATATAGTCAAGATATTTATTCGAGAAAGCTACATCAAAATGAAAGCTTTCCTCTATTTTGTTTAGTTTAAACAGGAATAGATATGCTATATTAGTTTACTTTTTTAGTAATCAGGCAATAGAATGGTTTAGGTTTATGTAGGCGCTTTATATTTACTAAAAAGGCACTAAACACGATAAAAATCTGTATTTTATTTTCCATAGGTCTAAGCTTCCTCTTGTTTTATTGGAAATTAAAACGTGAATAATACTTTAATGAATAATGATCTTTGTCGATACGATTGCATTTAGGTAAAATAACCAACTGTTTTTAATACTTTTAAAGACAGACTATGTAAGGAATATTATCATCTAGCCCCTCAGGTGTATTTCTTGACTAGCACGTAAAAGAAAATATGAAGCATAAATCAACCAACTGCGTGGACATGATGTTTAGAACTAAAAATGTAAGGATACCTATTTTTACTTTTGACTGCCAACAAGTACTGATTTAACTAACAAACCATCAGTTGCACAGAATCTTTCGAAATGTGAAAGTTTATCAAGATCCTTGAGTAGTTAGAGAGAATTTATTGGAAATATTTAATTTGTTTAGTAATTTCAAAGCAGTTTTCATCAGTTGTTATCCTACTAAGATCATTGTTTCTTTTAATTTATACATACAAAAGCGTTATCACCTTATACAGAAATACATTCTTTATAATTCACCCTATGTTTTGTTTGATAATTCTGTTTTAAAGAGCATGATAGCTTAATGTATTGTTTACCACATGTCAAAATTTGAATTTTATGCATCTCCATTAATTTAATAAAGAAATATTAATAAGAGTATCAGATGAACAACTTGTTCACTATTCACTCAAATATTTTATTATTGCTAAGCTGGCTTAAAAAGTCATAAATTTCTAAGTGACCGAATGGTACAATAGTATGAATGTACTTATTTGTTAATCAAACCAAATGGTGAAAGTCTAAAGTCCCAAGGAACAAAGTAATGCATATCAGATGCTGAAAATCCCATATAGTATGGTTTTTGTAACTGATTAAGGTGGTTCAACAGTACATATTTCGCTCTTTTTCAAGTAATTACCTAACTGTTGCTGATCGTTTTCCCCACGCCAAACTATTCTCTGAAGTTTATTCCAGAAACAAGTTTTTAAGTGTTATAATATTCTCAGCAAATTGAGTTAAATGCATTTTTTTAGTACTCTTGATTGTTTTAATGAGTTTTTCACGAAAGATTTAAGTAACATGCTGTGGCGGTCTATGTATTTTTCAAGTTATGAAAGACATTGCTATTGATTATTGTTTTCATGTTCTTTGAAGTATTATATTTTGTTAATCCCGAGATAACTATGGCATAACAGTGGTCAACAATTTTGTTGCTGAGTCCTTTGAACTTCAGCAAAATATTTGTCTGTCATATCTGTAACAGAAAATCTCATGTCTCATCCAGTCAGGTAAATACTCCTAAAAATGTCATTAGTCGGGTAAAGTCTGCTTAGCAAGTATTTTAGATTATATGGAAACAATTATGCAGTTCATGTCCTGGTCACACCATGTTGGTAATTGAGGTGTTCATAAGATATCTTCTTATGTTAGAACCTTATTATTGGAATTTTAAATACTGGGCTACCTAGCACGTTTTATTCAGTGCTCAAATAAAAGATAATTTGATGAAAAACTTCAAATGTCATACTATTATCATTTCCATTTACTCATTATTGAGACACATAATCCTTAGATTATCCTGTGAATCTGGAATAAAGAATACATCCTAAGAGTGCTCTGAAGCATCCATAGTATAAAAACACAAAAACACTGTTTAAATGACAAGACGTTCTCATTGGTTTAAGTTATTTTCTAGTTGAAACGTTTATATCTTATTCATAAACGCATAAATGTTTTTAATTGTTTTATTAATTTTGGAAGTTTTATCCATTTTAAATTCGCTTAGTATTACTTGTTTGAATCTTCCTATTGATGTTTAGGACTGCAACTGGTCAGTCTCTTATTAGCATATGTGCATACTGTGCGCATTGCCTCTATATAGCCTTATTTCACAAGCATTGTAAGCAAAGATGGATAGTGGCTAGCAGGACTCAGAAGACGAGTGGATAACGCAATGGCGTTTGAAACCAAAGGTACTGGGTTCACGTCCCAGAGTGAACATCAGCTCTGAGATGCAGGTACATCCAGCTGACGAGTCCAAAACGCGCCTGCTGGATTCCAATACTAACCACCATCCATCTTTTATTCATTCTGTCTGAAATAAATAGCTCTTTTTATCGTTTCATTTAAAACGTATTAGAAATGTTAGTTTTATACATTTTTTTAACAAAAACAAAATGAATTGAATGAGAAACATAGATGAATAAAATACTCAACATGATGAAACTCCTTTACATACTCCACTTTCTCGTTTCTATCTATGTTATCATCTATAAACATAAATTAAAAGAAAACATAACACATGTTACTGACTTTTATCACTTTACTGATTAACTTCCGACACATTCTAATGAAGTTAATTAATTAATACATTAAGAATAATAATAGAAATAATAATGATAACCCTTATTTTGTTTTATAATGAGTAAGTAATGATAATGCAGACTAAATAACGGACATATTTCGAGGTGAAACAATGAATAAGTTAGATTAACATTTCAACACATCCTCTCTGTGTGTGTACAATTATAAATTATAACATAAACCACACTGACAAATAATGGTTCAACAGTTGTGTAGTAGATTTGTTTATTCCGGTTAATAATTTGAATGTATCATTGAATGATATTACATTTATGAACTATTGAAGATAAGAAATGACCTATGTTTGTTCGTTTTTTTGAATTTATTTAGATTGTTTTGTTTGATTTTGGTTTATCTGCCACTCATCTTGATATTCTTTTATGGTTATTCAGCTAGCTTTTAACTATAGATTGTTAGATTCATTTAGTATTGTTTGTTCGAATCTTCCCATCGATGTGTTAGGACTGCAACTGGTCAGTCTCTAATTGGTACATCCAACTGACGAGTCCTAAATAGAACGAAACGCGCGTCCTGGATTCCACTGCTAGCCACTATCCATCTCTGCTTACTATAGATTGTTAGGATTTGTTTATTCACATCAACATGTAACTTACTGTTAGCTTTACATGTTTAGAATTAAATTTTAAACAATGTTATCACTTTGCCCTATTTCACTCTCTTCTTCTTCTGTTTTAGATGGTTATTTAACATTAGCCTATTTGTCCAATATATATATCCCTAGGTTAGAAGTAAAACAACTTAATCTAATATCAAATAGAATTGTTAATGTTAATGAAACTTTACAGGATGATACTTTACATCATTTAACGGATGATTCTAATATATATGATAATGATTATTGGTCTTTACATGGAAATTCCATACGTTGGAATAAGTTACTTGAAACAAGCAAACTGAAAAATTCACATTTTACCGAAGGTTATGAGTTTATGTTTTATAAAATTTTATCTTTACCTGGTAAAAGATATGTTGTATTTCAAGAACCAGCAATAGAAACTCAACTTATGGAGAACCCATGGACATCTGAACGTAAGGTAAGTTATTATTTCAAGAAGATTCTTAAATTTTCTTGATATTTATGTATCTGATATACTTTGAAAAATACGTGCTTTTGATATGTCTCGTCGATTGAACGCTATATTCGTTTCCTAAGCTATTCTGGTAACCCACAGGTTGGAACTACTGAGCGACTTGAACACTAGAGAGAAGACACAAGTATGAGAGAAAACACTTTACTCCAGGGTTCGTACTTGTGCAGCAAATCATAGCTATTTATAGATGTTAGCGTCTGTTAAATCAACATCATATTTCAACCAATCCGTTAACGACATATTATGCTGCCGACCAATAGTAGCACGCCACGTTGAAATTCTAGAATGTTCCATCATACTCTGATTGGCTAGGGCTCTTCGGTTCCTTTTGGGCCTCTGGAGGCTCCGTTGAAGTTCTCCAGAAGCCGACCCAACAGTTTTACAGTGGATCCTGCATGCTCGCGTTACTATTCTGCTTTAAGACGTAATGCTAATTTAACTGTAGAATTAACTTTTATTTATACATTGATCTGTTGTATTTCAGTAGAAATATGCAACCAAATGTTTTTAGAATGATGAGAACAGATGAACTCTGAAGAAAACAGATAAACATACTGTTATATCTGAGTCACTTATTACTTATCACTGAAACAAGGAATCACTGAAATTCTCACAACATGAAGTGATAGCCCAGAAGTCTGATATAAGAATGGATTTATTAACTGCAAAACACCCCGGCGCTAGTCAAAAACACACTTAGTTTTATACATTGATTGATAATCCCGTTTGATTAATAATTTAATAAAGGTAGCATACATAAAAATTTATAACGAAATCGCATGCTTCACTTCATGTTGAATATAGTTCACGTTGAATCAATGTAAAAATATCATATCTTGAATATTATTATTATCATCAGAAGGTGAGATATCAACTCACTGAAGACCATTGGTGAACGATTGCTCAACTTCGTGGATCAGTTGAAGTTAGACATTAACACCGTTGAATGCCGGCCAGCTAAGTGGTCTATCGGTTAAGGGCTCTGGCGCGAGACTAGTAGGTCCTGAGTTCGAATCTCGCTCGCAAGGCGGGATCGTGGATGCGCACTGCTGAGGAGTCCCATAATAGGACGGAACGGCCGTCCAGTACTTCCAGGTTTTCCTTGGTGGTCTAGCATATATAATTAGCAACCTTTACTTTATTAATCAGTAGGCTGATGAAACGAATTTGTTTCATGTGCAAAGTGATTAAGACAATAAATAAAACTTAGACCTCATTAGTACAACAAATCATTGTCATGTGATTTCATAGAGTATTACATATAGAAGGCATTTTTTCCCCTTTACCGGTACTTTTATAGAACATGAGTGTTTAAAAGAAATAATCCATAATATAAGTCCTGATGAAATCTAATAAAATAAACTCAGAAAAGCAATCTGATATGGATTACGAGTTTTGGCTCGATTATAGATTTGCTTACCTAGTAGCTTAAAACCATTGGTTTGGATTTTCTACAGATTCACTTCAATCAAATAGGATCAAGTAGAGTTCAATATAACACTAAATCATCTTATATAATGATCATATAAAGAGTTTGGCCTATCTATGGTTAGATATAGATAGAGTGAACCTAGTTTACACTCGATTTCTAATTAATACGAAAGAAAATATTCATGCTTTTGTTTACTCTTTCATCAACATAGATTGTATACACACGTATAGCTCGTATTTGCACAGAAGATAAAGGATTTCTTATGCCAAATGATGGAAGTAAACTATTCACATCATTTTTTAAGACAAGGCTTATATGTCAAGTTCGTACAAAAACAAAAAACTTAGACGGATCATCTAGGTAAGTAGATTATTGTTTCCAATAAACTGCTTTGTAAACTGTTCTCTCATTTTTTCTTTACCAATTTAAATTTGAATTAACGTAGCATTTCACTGAGTAATTTCATGTGGTTAAGAGGATAACTAGTTTTTTTTACCTTAATACGGTTTCCTAAGTAAAGGGTATTCTACTAGTGAGTACTTTAGAACTGTTTCAGCAAGGAGTTTCTATGATGAAGTACAGGTAAACTATGTTTTGTCAGGAAATACATGCAATCTACCTTCATAAGTTAGCAAGAAATAAGTACTCTACAAATATTTGATCTCTCTTATGGTTAGTGAGTTTTAAACGTATTACGAGCTATATTGATAAATTCATGCCTCCATCACTTTACAAACAGGGATTATTTACTAACGGTTTAAGTTAAACAGAAATTTAAAAGTAGCATTCAAGTATTTAATGATATGCTGAGTCATTTAATTACCTAATAACCAACATACAACTAGTGTACAAATGAAGAGAAAAGAATACATTGAGTATGATGGAACTGATAAGAGTTATCAGGATAATATCAGGGTCAACAATATGTAGAAAGTCGAACGAGATTCGTCATATCACATTTTTTTGAAGGTTTCAAAATAAGTCAAATTCAGACTTAGGTAAGTTCTAATGAATAGCATGATTATCAAGCTAATCAAGATCATCATTCATTTGTTACTCTATCTATAGATTTATTTGAGCTATAAGCACATATAATTTAATAATATACCTTTCTACTTAGTACTCATTTTCATCCTAAATGAGTTTAATGAGTTAAGTGTTAGAATTATGTATTTCCAGTCTAAGATTTTGACAGGACAGCATTTTGTTTTCATTAGCATTCATCAGCAAAGGATATCTGTAAGGTGGACTTCTAGTGAGTAGACGTGACCAGTGAAGTTCAACCAGGTCTGTTGTGAGATATCAACACACTGTAGACAATAGTGAAAAGTGGTGCAATTTCGTGGATGGGTTGAAGTTAGACATTAACATCTTTGAATGCCGGCTGAAAGGTCTAGAGGTTAGGCGCTCTCACACGAGACTAATAGGTCCTGGATTGGAATCCCGTGGTCTGGATCATGTGCGCGCAATGCTGAAAAGTCCTATACCAGGACGGAACAACCGTATAGTATTTCCAGGTTTTCCTCCGTGGTCTAGCTGCAACTGAATAATTAATTTAACTATGAAATTACTATAATATCCATAACACCCCTTTCTGGTTACATATATTTATATATGATAAATTTATTAATATATAATTATATATGGAAATTAATTTTAAAAAGGTAATAACAAGCCAATTCTATTGGCTAATTTTTTTGTAAACTGATTTATTAAAAAGTATAATTTATTATGAATTACCTTTATTATTATTATTATTATTCATTAATTAATTAACTTTAATCTCCCTTAAGACTATTAGTTGATAGTATGATAGTAAATCATAATTTTAGGAACAAATGAATAAACTACTAATAAGTAAATTTATATAATACAATTATTTAGATCTTGAATTGAAAATGATAGTTTTTCCTAATTCATTTCTTTTGGTTGATTGTATTTTTAATGTTAAGTACCTATAAATTGTTCGATTTTTGAAATAAGAAGAGATTCTTAAGATAATACTTACTTACTTACGCCTGTTACGCCTAATGGAGCATAAGCCGCCAACCAGCATTCTACAACCCATTCACTTTGTCATGGGCCTTCCTTTCTAGTTCTATCCAATTTTTGTTCATTCTTCCCATGTCCGTCTCCATTTCTCGGCGTAATGTGTTCTTTGGTCTTCAGGATTCCATGAGAGGGCTTGCCTTGTGACGCAGTTCGATGATTTCCCCAATGTGTGTCCTGTCCACTTCCTGATCTTCTTCCTGATTTCTTTCTCCACTGAAATCTGGTTTGTTCCCTCCCACAGTAACTTGTTGCTGATAGTGTCTGGCCATCGGATCCGAAGTATCTTGCGTAGACAGCTGTTAATAAACAATTATATCTTCTGGATGATGGCTTTCGTGCTCCTCCACGTCTCCGCCCCATACAGTAGAACTGTCTTGACGTTTGTATTGAAAATTCTGATGTTGGTGTTGGTTAACAGACAATTGTTGTGAGTTCAAGATGTTCTTCAGTTGTAAATATGCTGCTCTTGCTTTGCCGTTCCGCGCTTTCACATCTGCATCAGATCCACCGTGCTCATCTATGATGCTGCTCAGACATGTAAAGGTTTTTACATCCTCCAAAGCTTCTTCGTCAAGTGTGATTTGGTTGGTGCATGTTCTATTGTATCGGAGATCTTGCTTTTCTCTTTGTTTATATCGAGACCTACTGCTGCGGAGGCTACTGCTACACTGGTCGTCTTCTGTGCGTGTGATAGAAGAGCCAGATCATTTGCGAAGTCTAAATCATCCAGCTGCATCCTAGCTGTCCACTATATCCCATGCTTCCATCCAGATGTTGACGTCTTCATGATCCACCGGATCACCAGGAGAAAGAGAAAGGGTGAGAGTAAGCAACCTTGCCTGACACCGGTCTTTACTTCGAACGAGTCAGTGAGCTGTTCTTCATACATGATTTTGCAGTTTAACTTATCGTAGGGATTCCGTATGATATTGACTATCTTCTCAGGCACGCCGTAGTGTAGAAGAAGCCTCCATAGTGCTGTTCTTTTAAGATAATAAGTACTACTAACTAGCTTTAGGCAGATAAATAATCAAAATTAGGGAACATTATCAATTCAAATCGACTTGGTATGAAATTGCTTGATAGTGTACATAAAGATTGAACATAAAGCCTATGGAACCCATGGAGAACGTATTACTTTGTATCTCTTTCATAGCATGTCTCTAAAGAATCAGAGCTCATATAAAGTTTATCTTGACTATGAAGCAATTGAGAGAAAACTGATGCTTCAGGTAGAATAGAAGGAGTGCTGCTAGCAGTGGAATCTAGAAAGTTCAGTTCGTCTCGATTCGGGACTCATCTGTTGTATGTACTGTGTTCGGACACCGATGTCAGCATAAATAATGTAATGTAGGTTCACTCAGTTGAATAGTCCCTATTTAATAAATAATCGTCGTTTTTGATCTCATTATTAGCTGATTCTCAATTCTTGTACTGCTAACATCAAACTGGCGATCAATCAATATTTATCACAAAGATCGGTCAAGAAAACAAGAAAAGGAAATTTGCTGAAGTACTTTGTGCTGAGAATTCTATATTGTACCAAACATATAATATTGAATACAGCCACCTATAATAATAATGTGTATGGCAGCTCATATAAAATTGAGTTTGTTCATATCTAATTTGGTGAAGCCTTTTGTTAACAATAAAAAATCTATCTATACAATTGTACCTTTATTATGTACGCTTGAGCATTGTTTACTACCTGCGCATATATTCATTTTGCTAGCCTTACTATTAATCGCTTAATTGATTCGATGATTCATGCATTTCCATTTTTATATATATGTACATCTTAATACTGTTCGTTGTACTCGCTTACTCGATCAATCGATCTCTCGCTCGCTCATTCGACTCACGCGCTCACTCGCTTGCTTTACGGTACCACTCCTTCATGCTTGCTTAACATGCCTGTAATTTTGGGTATCTGTGTGTGGTCCAACAATAAACATAATCAACACTTCGAATTCGCCTTTTGATTTATACACCATTATTGGAGTTATTGAGTAACGATTATCAGGATGAACAATATACGAAGTTAAAGGATAATATCAAATATCGAGCACCACATGTGTCTTGAGTTTTTTTAAAACAACTTATCGACTGTTTGAATCCTTTTTAACTGAATTTATAATTATTAGTCTTAGCTTTTCTCTGGTTAGCGTTTTTTAACGAGTTGACGCAGATGTGAGGGTGAGGATCGGCAAAGTAAGATCAGAATATTTACAACTGAAGAAAATCTGGAACTCAAAAAAATTGTCAACCAACACCAGCATCAGAATTTTCAATACGAATGTCAAGACAGTTCTACTGTATGGGACGGAAACCTCGAGAACTACGAAAGCCATCATCCAGAAGATACTAGTGTTTATCGACAGTTGTCTAAGCAAGATACTTCACATCCGTTGGCCAGACACTATCATCAACAACCTACTGTGGGAGAGAACAAACAAGATTCCATCCAGTGGAGGAAGAAATCAGGAGGAAGAGCTGGAAGTGGATCGGACATACATTGAGGAAAGCATCCAACTGCGTCACAAGGCAAGCCCTCATATAGAATCCTGAAGGCCAAAGAACACATCACGCTGACATATGGAGGCAGACATGAGAAGAGTGAAGAACAATTGGATAGAACTAGAAAGGAAGGCCCATGACAAAGTGAATGGGTTGTAGAATGCTGGTTGGCGGCCTATGCTCCATTGGAAGTAACAGGCATAAGTAAGTAAGTAAGTCTTAGCTTAAATAATGTTTTTAAGTAACAATGAAAGTTTGCCAAACAACTGAAAAAGGTTTGTTTATATTTTCCAACTTTTCTTTCATACATAATTAAATTACTTAAATTATGTTTTTTTGTTTGTTTTAACTTACCTTTATTTAAGTAGTATATCATCGACCAATCGTGATTTTAATTATCTTGTTGCCTTATCAACAAGTTATATACCACAAATTAAAAATGATTTACTTATCTATGGTTTATTCTCAGCTCGTGATCCTCAATTAAATAATGATATATCATTAAAATTAACCAATAATTTAGTACCATCTGGACCATTAGCATTATGTATATATAAACTATCTACAGTGGATAAAATAATTGAATCCAGTGATTTAATGTTACGTTTACCAACCTATTCACCATTCTATTATAATGAACAAATGATGAATAGGATAAATGGGAATTATTCAAAATTCCATGATGAAAGTCATTTGTTTCCACATGGTAGATATAGATATACAAATGGATTCAAACGAATAAGTCGTAATAAATATCCATATTTAAAAAATCTTACAAAGGTAATTGAACATTTTTATGATAGTAAATGTATGATTTTTATTATCAGAAGGAGTTTTTGTGGAGATTTATTATTTTCATAGTTGCAAGCGTGAGTCCATTGTAGCTAGACCACCAGGGAAAACCTGGAAGCACTTGACGGCCAATGCCCCCAAATGCCCTGGTTACGGCTGAGAGTGAGGATAGTTCATCCTCCCTCTCGAAATGCTCTCACATGGCCACACGTATACAGCCTCTGTCAGGGAAGTCCTACTCACTGCCTTCTCGTGGCGGGGGTGTTGTTCACAAAATTGAGAGGACGAAAAGCGAATGCCCGGCGCATTAACCGGGTCGGTGGACACGGCGAGTCCACCTAGGGGAGTTGGGAAACCCTGATTCTTAATCAATGGTGCACATAAGCTCCAGTATCCTGAAAGAACAAATGGTGTATGAACCAATCGTTGGTCACTGGCTACCGTGAGACTGCATCTCCTCACGATGCTCCACTGCCTTGTGGATCATACTTTTAGGTCAAAGGCTCCGGGTGTGGCCCCCTAAGAAAACCACTTGCTTCGGTTTTGGCACCTGGGCAGTATCACAGCTCTCACACAAATCGAATGAGATTTGTGCGGTACATATATATTTAGTGCTTCCTTGTACCAATATTTATGTTTTTAAAATAAAAATAATAATAAATAAAACCACTGGCTGACTAGCTTCAATTGACTCACTCTTTCAACTATGAAAATGTATGATTTGAATTGAGGGATGTAATTCTTGTTAATCATTAATGTTTTAGCCTTCATAACCTTCTATAACATGAGAATATAAGTGTACATTCAGTGTATATTCAATTTAAAACAATAATATAAACTATAGAAACATCAAATACATAGCTGAAAACTTGTTATTTTCTGTTGTGGAAAGAAATTACCAAAGATTCAATTCAACACTAAAAAGCTATTATTTCTTACGCTTGTTAACCCCAATGGAGCGAACGCCACCGACAAGCATTCTCCAATCCTCTCTGTCCTAAGCCTTCCTTTCTAGTTCTATCCAATTTTCGTTCATTCTTCTCATGTCTATTTCCATTATTCGACATAGTATGTTATTTGGTCTTCCTCTTTTCCTTTGACCTTCAGGATTCCATGTGAGTGCTTGTCTTGTGACGTAGTGTGTCCTATCCACTTCCAGCGCCTCCTCATCATTTGTTCCTCCACTGGAATCTGTTTTGTTCTCTCCCATAGTGGATTGTTGCTGATGGTGTCTGGCCAACTGATCCGAAGTATCTTGCGTAGACAACTGTTTATAAACACCTGTATCTTCTGGTGATGGCTTTCGTAGTTCTCGAGGTTTCCGTCCCATACAGTAGAACTGTCTTGACATTCGTATTGAAAATTCTGATGTTGGTGTTGGTTGACAATTTTTTTGAGTTCCAGATTTTCTTCAGTTGTAAATGTGCTGCTCAAAAAGCTATTATATAATTAAATAATTTATGTTTACACTATCCAAGATAATTAAAATTGGGGTCATCTTTGAACTGAAAATCAAGTTCTAACGCTGGTTAAGTATAATGATGAGAAATTTTCAAGTAAGCTGTGGTTCAGATGAATAGAACTTTTACACTGGGCACTATTCTCTCTAATCAGCACATCATCTCAAATATAAGACGGTTCTTAGTCTCATAAATCATTTGTATTGTATTAATAATATCTAAGGAACTTTATGAATATGATTCATTTTTAATGCTTGATTAGATAAGTAGGGAATCGTATGGAGATATAAGTAAAGTATTGAACTAATGTGGTTGTATTGTTTGAGTTAAACGGTTTAATAGAGGTTTAAGTAGTGGACCAGTTGTTTATCTAGACTTGGAGAAATTTCAGTGACTAACAATACATTGACATAAATAATCATCAATAATTTAGGTATGATTGTCTGGGGCTTCATATTGACTGTCTTTTCGATGTAATTCCTAATGTTAAAATTCGTCCAATTTGTTTTGTTAAAACTACTATGTATTTCAATATGTTTATTACTTATTAACTGATCTTAGTGCTAATCTTTAAGAAAATCTATCATTTTTATGGTGACTATGTTCAATTCCCTAGAAAAATACCCTATCTTCAAGTGTCAACACACCTTGATATAAGTAATGATATGTGATGTTTGTTAGATTAGTGATATACAATAAATCAAGAATGTTTCACTATTGAATTATTCAACTAGGGGAACTTTACTACTTCAATATAATACTGAATTATTAATCAGCATCATCTTAATATAGCATCTTTGCCTATACATATTGAAGGTATCATTTTAATATAAATGAAAACTGTCAAGAAATGATAACATATTGAGCTAAACATATGTCTGTTAATGTCCACGTTAATACATGAAATTTGTACTTTTCTGTACATAAAATTAGTTACTATTGAACTTTATTTAGTATTTACATAATAATTTATTAGATAGATTACTAAGTGAATTTAAACTTCACCCCCATTACACAAACAAGTAGCTATCAGGACTCAGTAGCTGAGTGAATAACGCGATCACGTTTGAAGCGAAAGATACTGGGTTCGAATCCCAGAGTGAACATCAACTCCGATTTGCAGGTACATTCAACTGACGAGTCCGAAATAGGACGAAACGCGCGTCAAATTGGATTCCACTGCTAGCCACTGTCCAACTTTGCTTATGATGTTTGTGAATTAAGGCTATATCGAGGCAATACGCACAGTATGCACATATAGCCAATAAGAGACTGACCAGTTGCAGTCTTAAACATCAGTGGGAAGATATAAACAAACAATACTAAGTGAATTTAAACTTTAAGTAGAGTTTAGATTTCGAACTATTGAGAATGAGAATATAATTGTTTGAATACGGAAGGTGTTTTCATTGGTAATCCACATTGAGAATTTAATGACAATATACTATTAACTACCTTATGGTATCTAAGACATTAATTATGATTGTAATCATCAAAATATAATGACAGTTTTGAAAATTGTCGGTCATAATGTAAGCAGGTTACTTTTAGTTCATCTGATCAAAATTAATTTGATTTTCATCAGAAGGGGGTTTTATGGAGTTTTTAGTAACCTTTTACAGTTGAATTGATGAGTCAATTAAAGCTAGAACACCATGCAAAACCTGGAAGTACTGGACGGTCGTTTCGTTTTAGTCTCAGACTCCTCAGCAATGAGCATCCATGATCCCACTCCACGAGATTCAAATCCAGAGCCTATCAGTCTCACGCACAAGCGCTTAACCATTAGACCACTTAGCCGGCATCTGACGGTGTGTTAATGTCTAACTTCAACCAATACACAAAATTGACCAACTGTCCAACATTTTGATTTGTTTTATAATGAAGAGAAGAGATAAAGATATATAAATGATCTTTTTAATTATATCACAGAATCATAATTGTTTTTAATCCTTATATAATTGATTTTTTCTTTTATATACTTCATTTTAGTGTCCAGGTTTAACTACTACAAATAAACGTTTATCATTAGAAGCATCTTTATTAATTGATTCAGTTTATCCAGAAAGATTCAATATTTTCGGTATGATTGAAACACGTTCACAAATTACCGCATTTATTATTGATCCACGTCATGTTGCCAAAATTTATCAAGATAAAACACAACCTGGACAAATAAAACATATTCGTTATACAATTTTTTATATTGGAACAAGTAAGTCATGTTGTAGATAGTAAATTCTATTAACAAATAGCATTAATTAGAAAGGGGTTTTTGTGGAAATTTCTGTATTTTCATAGTGATCTATCGGTTAAATGCTCCGGCGCGAGACTGATAGGTCCTGGGTTCGAATCTCGCAAGTGCAGGATCGTGGATGCGCATTACTGTGGAGTCCCTCAATAAAACGAAACGGCCGTCCAGTGCTTCCAGGTTTTCCTTGGTGTTCTAGCTTCGATTGGCTCATGATTTCAACTATGAAAATAGCATTAATTTAAATGTTATATGGCATGTATCTTTTTTAATTGAGTGAGCTATCAATTTGTTTGAGTAGTGTTATGAAGTAGGGGTTAGAACATGTTACTTACTTACTTACTTACCCCTGTTATCCATCGTGAAGGAGCATAGGCCGCACACCAGCATTCTCCACTCAACCCTGTCCTGGGCAATTCTTTCCAATTCTCTCCAGTTACCATTCATCCTTTTAATATCTGCTTCTATTTCCCGGCGTAATGTGTTCTTTGGCCTTCCTCTCTTCCGCTTCCCTTAAGGATTACAAGTTAGAGATTGTCTCGTGATGCAGTTTGATGATTTCCTCAATTTATGTCCTATCCACTTTTAACATCTCCTAATCTCCTCTTCAGATGGAAGTTGGTTTATTTCTCTCCCATAGTAAGTTGATACTGATGGTGTCCAGCCTGTGAATGTTGAATATTTTGCGTAAACAACTGTTTATAAATACTTGTACCTTCTTGACAATAGATATAATAGTTCTACACGTTTCAGCTCCATAAAGTAGGACTGACTGTCTTGACTTTCGTATTGAAGATTCTTACTTTGGTATTGGTTGACAGTTGTTTTGAGTTCCAAACGCTCTTCAATTGTAAGAATGCGATCCTTGCTTTGCCAATCCTCGCCTTATTAGAACATATAACTCATATAAACTTTGTTGTTAAAACAATGCATAAGAAGATAATCATTTGATTAATGCAATACTTAACTTTGTTTAAGTGATAAGCATTTGCAAGTTCCAACTATTAATATAATCATTGTAAGGAACTAATATTCAAGACAATACAAGAGGCCAAGAAACATGTCACAAACATAAGAGACACTTAGGTTAAAAGCTAATATCAAAAAGAAATTCCATGAATTGTCATACGAAATATTACCGGATATAGATTAATAGATTTTGTTAGTTAATCATTTGCCTACTGAATCGTCACCTAATTGTAAGGTTTATTTATTGACCAACATACTTCTCTTCAATTGATTCTGATTTCATACAACTTGTATCTTACTTTTAAATGGTAGAAAGCGAAATCGGTTCAAATAAGATGAAGTTATATTTTGGGCTTTAACATGATAACAATCTACCATAATCAAACAATGAAGTGTATTAAATTCAGTTTGACAGATTGACAAATAATTAATAAAATAGTGTTTTCTGTAGAGATTTTAAGTAATTTTTATATATACGTGAAATCACGAGTCAGTTGAAGCTGGACCACTGGGGAAAACCTGGAAGCACTGGACGTGGACGCACACTGCTGAGGTGTCCCACAATAGGATGAAACGGCCGTCCAGTGCTTCCAGGTTTTCCTTGGTGTTCTAGCTTTAATTGACTCATGATTTCAAGTATATATAAAAAGTTAATAAAAGAATTCAGTCAATTTCATTATATATACCCTATATTAGAGTATACTGTTTCAATGGAGACTTAATAAATAATCATAATAGAATATCAAAGCTTATAAGAAAAAAGATTTGAGGTTATTGTACTTTAATTTGTTTTTTAAAATTTACGTTTATTATTTTAAATAATTCACACCATTGTAGTTAGTTACATCAAGGTAGTGACTAGATATGTGTGTAGTAGAATATCTGAACAGTATGCTTCGTGGTCAGATGAATGTTATTCTAAGACATAGGACGGATGTTTGTGTACTCAAAGGACATAAATCTGACTGCATGCTGTCAAGGCAGTGGTCATCCATATTGCCAAAAAGAACTTTTGTGTATAGATAGTGTAATTCATTTATTTTTATAGTTGAAATCATGAATCAATTGAAGCTAGACCACCATGGAAAACCTGGAAGCACTGAACGGCCGTTTCGTCCTATTATGGAACTTCTCAGCAGTGCGCATCCACGATCCTGCACTCACAAGATTGTAACCCAGGACCTACCAGTCTCGCGCCGGAGCACTTAAACACTAGACCACTTAGCTGGCCGGCATCCAACGGTGTTAATGTCTAACTTCAACTGATCCACGAAGTTGAACAATCGTTCACCAATTGTCTTCAGTGAGTTGATATCTCTACAACAAACTTGGTTGAACTCCACTGGTCACTACTTCCCACTAGAACCTAGAAAAACATTCCTTACAGTCAGTCACTAATGAGCATATGATTGAAATATCCACAAAACCCCTTCTGATCTATAATTCATTTATTCTCAATAATTTGGAAATCGATTCAATATGTACATTTCCTTAATATTCACTAAAAATATCAAAGCATTTGCAAACGACCAGCAATCTCTTGCCCGTCTTTTTACTGTTATTAACCTTATTTTTACTCTCAAGTAACCGTTGAAGTTATACGGTTTTGTATAAACACCTCTCGTTATTGATTATGTAGCCTTACACATACATACATACACACACAATTCATCTAGTCTTCTTTTATTTCATATCGTGAACTTCTCACTTGATTCTCATTTAACTGACTCATATGATCCTGTTTACAAAAATTCAACATCAAAATATGATTGGTTTAGTGTAGTATAGATTCGGATATGATTGTTAAAAAACATATATTTCTTTTGATGATTTCGGTTATTATCCTGAAGAAGTTCAGACAAGTTACATGGACGAAACTTTGGGATTATTTAAATTTTGCTCTCTGAGATTATTTAAAATATAAGTTTTCGCATATAATGACTTATCTATGCTCGGCGCTTAATTTTTGTCAAACTGTTCGTTCCAATCTTAACAAATATTCGTATAAATTAATCAATGACATTGATGTAAGCATGTTCTCTGAGCTGGATGGTTTGGTCGTGGAGCTTCCATCATCCTTCTGAACGACATCATCAGCACAAACTTTGGATAAAAGTCTACCTGTTCAGAAGGACAATAAAAGCTCCACGAATTAACCTATACAACTCAGAGAACAAACCTACATTAAAATCACCCATATGAGCTACAAATCTTCTCCATCATCTCATAATCAATGATATCTTTGTTCTCCAACATTGCCTAAGTTGTCTTTATTGTTGAATTAACCACGGGAAGATTTATTGTTGGTTTCATAGATAATTATAAATTTTCAATATCTTTACTTAACATCATTTTATGATGTATAAGTTTTTTGGCGAGACTATATTTTATGGACGACCCTTGAACGAATCTGAAATGGCATTGAGAAATGTTAGCCAATCAGTAAACAGTCAGCATAGAGTAAAAATATCTAAATATACAAAACCAAAGAATTAAAATGGATACGCTTGTTTTATATGGTCCAAAAACTTGTCTAGGTTAGAAAGAGGTTCAAAGGTTCTAAAATCGTAATGCATATGGTAGAGAAACTCATCCTTATGGCTCCATAATAATTGGTCTCTGGAGCCATGATAAGGTCACAAAAACCCTCTCAGCCTCGACCACATAGCTTCATTATTGTATGTGTGTACTCCGGTTGTGTAAAGTCATCATTTCTATTATGGATATTTCCCTACAAAACTCATACCACCGAACAGCCGAAGGTTCTGCAACATCTGCGATTATTGCAGCCAATTTTACTTGTGCTTTTATTATACAGTTCGCGAAAATTGTTATAATATGCCTTAATCTCAATCTGGATCGAGCGATAAAAGTTCCTATTCTAGCAAACGTCTTTCTTCAAAATATATTAAATCGAAGGACAACATCATGGTAGTCTGCACGAAGTCTACAAGTCATTTAATACTCGTGATTACAAATACAGCAACTTCTTGGTAGTTTCATTTGTTGTAGCCGCTTAATTGTCACGTACATGAGCATCAGGTACTGAAATTAGCGCCGTGACCTTGAAATCCCTCAAACGCTTCTGATTGGCTCTCCCATAAATTATAGTCTCGCCATTTTGTTCTCAATTGTAAAACACAATTATTAAATTAGTTCTTGTAAACTAATTCGTAAATTTCACCCTCCCTCCCTTCAAAAAATAATCATTTAGATAATGGTGATGTGTTTAAAATGTTATTATTCAATGAAATTGAAGACAGTTCCCCTGAATACTTCCAATATGCATCAAATTCTTATGGAAACAATTCAACTTCAACTAGACGATTATTATCTCATTTCAATATACCTCAATCGGCCTTATCACTGACTACTTCTGGTAATATACATATTATAAGCCAATTATTAATATCAAAAAAGCATAATCATAAAATTACAAATCTATTATTATTACATAAATCTCATTTAAATAGAACCATACAAATTCGATCAAGTAATGAAGAATTTAATTATTCTACAATGGATGTATTTTCATTACTAATATTTACTGATGATACAATGATACAAATTGAATTAAGTCAATGTGATAAAGTAAAAACATGTAGGTAAGTTTTGACTGGTGAACTTGTATATTACTTACTTACTTACGTCTGTTACTCCTTCCCAATGGAGGATAGGCTGCTGACCAGCATTCTACAACCCATTCACTCTGTCATGGGCATTCCTTTCTAGTTCTATCCAATTTTCGTTCATTCTTCTCATGTCTGTCTCCATGTCTTGGCGTAGTGTGTTCTTTGGTCTTCCTCTTTTCCTTTGACCTTCAGGATTCCATGTGAGTGCTTGTCTTGTGACGTAGTGTGTCCTATCCACTTCCAGCGCCTCCTCATCATTTGTTCCTCCACTGGAATCTGTTTTGTTCTCTCCCATAGTGGATTGTTGCTGATGGTGTCTGGCCAACTGATCCGAAGTATCTTGCGTAGACAACTGTTGATAAACACCTGTAACTGCTGGATGTTGGTTTTCGTATTTCTCCAAGTTTCCGCTCAATACAGTAGAACTGTTTTGACATTTGTATTGAAAATTCTGATGTTGGTGTTGTTTGACAATTGTTTTGGGTTGCAGATGTTCTTCAGTTGTAAATATACTGCTCTTGGAAATTGTATATTAATTCATATATAGTGAATTTAACTGTTGAAAGTATCATGTAGATGATACTTGGCGACAGAAATTTCATTTTTATTTTGATGATATGATTAACTTTTACCGAGAATTTAGTTGATATGAGTCTTATTCAAGATTTTCAAATAGTGTCATTACTAGCTTTTCATAGATCGGTGCCAGTTAGTCCTTTTGTACTATAGATTTTCGTTATAGTTGATAGTATATACCTTTATTTGTCTGATATTTCGTCGATTTCATCTGTCTCTGTCTAGGGTGTTGAAACTTGAATAGATAGAAATCCATTCCATGATCTAAGCTTATTAAAATTGAATGCTCAAAATACAGATGATGAAAAACAATCGTCACTGTATCAAGACTGGTTTTTGTAAAACAAAAGAGTGAAAACTTATACATAGACTTGGTGGAATCAGGTAATAATTACTCTGTAGGTCTTCAATCTCTTAAGTAGTAAGACATGCAAAATTCAACCTTTTTTTCTATACCCCTATTAAACAATAACCATGTAAGTTAATGGATGGGTGAAATAAAGCTCATGTGTTAAACAGTGATATTTCAAAAGATTTCCTTTTGTCACCATTTCATAAAGCTAATTTTACAAATGAGTTTATTCATACATCAAAGTAATTGTAAAAGAACACTTGAATGTTAGTTTAAATAGTTGAGATCATGAGTCAGTTGAAGGTAGAACGCCATGGATAACCTGTAAGCACTAGATGACCGTTTCGTCCTAGTCTGGGACTCCTCAGCAGTGAGCACCCACGAACCAGCCTTGTGAGATTCGAACCCAGAGCCAATCAGTTTCGCACTCGAACCACTGAGCCTGCACCCGATGGTGTGTTGATGTCTAACTCCAACCGATTGATGAATTTGAGCGACACATCCACCATTGTCTTCAATGAGTTACTATTTCACGACAGACTTGGTTGAACTTCACCGGTCACTGCTTCTCACCAGAACTCCAGGAAATGGTGGTCTAGCTTCAATTGACTCATGGTTTCAACTATTAAAATTACTATAAAATCCACAAAAAACCCCTTCTAACTTGAAAAATAATTTCTTTTAAATATCAGCATTATGAAAATTTAATTAAAATAATAAATATCAAGGGTATATATACACCATTGAATATGAAATTATTGACTATTAACAAATATTCTTACAAATTCTAGAATGTATGTAAATGTTAAATTCACTTAGTATTGTTTGTTTAAATCTTCCCATTGATGTTTAGGACTGCAACTGGTTTTGATGTAGGTTTGTTCTCTGAGCTGGATGATTTGGTTGTGGAGCTTTCATCATCCTTCTGAACGACATCATCAGCACAAACTTCGGGTAGAAGTGAAGTGTTTGAATTTCTCTACATATGATTCACAGCTTGTCCTGTGCAGAAGGACGATGAAAGCTCCACAACCAAACCAAGCAGCTCAGATAGCGAACCCACCTGAGCTACAAATCTTCTCCACAACTGCTACTACTATCCGCTATCCATCTTTGCTTAGTGTTTAAACGTTGTTTCAATGAAATATAAGTAAATCTGATTAAGTTATGAAAAGAATAATCCGTTTACAGTCAAGAGAAAGAAAATGTGATTTCACTGAGTAATCGTGAAAAAATTAAGCTTCAAATTTGACAGTATTCTAAAGTATTCATATCTTTCTTTATTCGTATAGAGTGGATGCTTCCTAGAAAAATCAAGAGAAAATCAATGTCAAATAATCTTTGTAGTTGAAAGTCTGAGTCAAATGAAGCTAGACCACCAAGGAACACTTGGAAGCACTGGACGGCCAACTCGTCCTATTGTGGAACTCCTCAGCAGTGCGCATCTACGACCTCGCTTCGCGAGATTCGAACCATAGAACCCACTGGTCTCGCTCCAGAGCACTTAACCGATAGACCACTGAGCCGGCATCCGATGGTGTGTATGTCAAACTCCAACCAATCCACGAAGTTGAGCGACCGTTCACCAATTGTCTCCAGTGAGTTACTATCTCACAACAGATGTGGTTTGAACTCCACTGGTCACTGCTTCTCACTAGAACTCCAGGATTTACCTCTCGAAGTCAGTCACTAGTGAGCATAAGATTATTATTATCAGAAGGGGTTTTCCTTGGTGGTCTAGCTTCAATTGACTCACGCTTGCAACTATGAAAACACTAAATCTTCACAAAAACCCCTTCTGATAATAAAAATCATCTTTAATTTAAAATGAAACACTACAAAATACTGTATATGGTACTAAAAGCATGAAAGAAACATCAATCAAATAAGCTCTATGTTTGGGATCATGACTATGGAAAGTAAATATATAATTTACTTTCTATATTTACGAGATCGTCAAATGTGACAGACTAAAACAAAAATCTATATATTTTATGTAGGTTATGGAGTTTGTTCGATTATATGGTTCTTTCTAACACTGCTGCTTGTAGATGTAGAACTCATAAAATTATAAAGTTGTAAATCATTAGTTAATCACTGCTTTGATACCTTTTTCACATACACAGTCTATTTTAAATGTGAAAGTGACCTGAGATTTTGGGATTTTACAATAGAAATGAAATCCGTTCACTTAGTGAATGATTTTAATATGATTTGCAAATAAGGTGAATAGTCAATTCTTGATAAATATAACAAAATTAATAAGTGAGAAAGATGGAGATTGGCTAGCAGTAGAATCCAGGACGCGCGTTTCGTCCAATTTGGAACTTGTCATCAAGATGTACTTCATCTCCGAGTTGATATTCACTCTGAGATTCGAACACAGTACCTTTCGCATCAAATGCCATCGCGTCATCCACTCAGCTACTGAGACTGATCAATTTCATTCCTAAACATCAATAGGGAGGTTCAAACAAACAATACCAAGTGAATTTATTAAGTGAAAGTTGGAATTTTGGGTTATTTTATTCTTAATTACACTTAAAAAGCAAATTTACAGCTATATACAATTGATTCATTATGAACTTATTACGATGTTTCTACATACTATCATGTTAGTTTTGTGATGTACGTGATTTATCGATTTCGTTAGCTTATCTGATATATTTAGGTTTCAATAACCATTTACCGTTGATACACTACAGTATGAAAATACACAGATCATGTTCAATTAAATTACTTTTATCTTAATGAGAATCTAATTTGCAAAATTAAAGTTATCCTGTTATCCATCTTTTACTCTTCTTTATGTTGTATTATATATAACTGAATAAACTTGATGTATCCAAAACTCTTCAAACACTCAGTTTAACTAACTATCTGAGTTGTGAATAGCCTAGTTTGAATGTCTAAATGTAACCATAAAATAATAAAGTATTTTCTAAATTTTAAACTTTGAATTGACTTTAGAGAAACCGTGATAATTAGCGATATTATGGTGAACAAGAAGACGAGAGGGGACAATCAAATGGTATTTCAGCACAAAATTACAGAATATCTCAGTACAATATGTTAACCATATTACTTACTAACTTACGCCTGTTACTCCTAATGGAGCATAGGCCGCCGACCAGAATTCTACAGCCCATTCACCCTGTAATGGGCCTTCCTTTCTACTGCTATCCAATTGTTGTTCATTCTTCTCATGTCCGTCTCCATCTCTCGGTGTAATATGTTCTTTGGTCTTCCTCTTTTCCTTTGACCTTCGGGATTCCATATGAAGGTTTGTCTTCTGATGCAGTTGGATGCTTTCCACAATGTGTGTCCTTTTCACTTCCATCGCTTCTTCCTGATTTCTTCCTTCACTGGATGGAATCTGGTTTGTTCTCTCCCACAGCAGCTTGTTGCTGATAGTGTCTGGTCAACGGATCCGTAGTATGTTGCGTGGACAACTGTTAATAAACACTTGTATCTTCTGGATGATGGCTTTCGTAGTTCTCCGCCTGTAGCTCCTTCGGTGGATATTGTCGGTCTCGAGCCAGGATAAAGAAGGGGTTAAGCATGGATTTAGCTACCCCATCCCGCAGAAAACCAACTCGCTAAAAAACGGTAACCATAAGAACCATATAGTAAATAGTTAATTTGCAAACTATCAATCAATTGCCTCAATCTTGACTGTTCCTTCTGCAAATATCAGTCCATCTTCTCCAATTATAATTGTTCATGCATTTTCATACCAATTGCGTTTCGTTCCCGTTCTTTCATTAACGATCTTCTACTAAAATACATCCAATACCCGACCATGACTATATACTAATTATATGGATATAAGTAACATACATCACAATATTTCATTGTTTAATTTGGGAACAATTTCCTGAGTAATAAAAGAAACCATCTGCTTTTTTTGTTTGTTTATTTATATTTCCAAATGAATAATACAAAAAATATTTTCTATATTATAATGTTATCAAAGCACGTATTCTTATTCGGTTACTATTTTTAAATGTATAACAGCGGGAACACATTTCACAAATTGAATTCCTCCAAAAAACATTTTGTTGTTGTTGCCCTTATGTTTATACGAAATTCTTATTTATTTATTGTTATTAAGCGTACAAGAGAAGTAGTGACCAATGGAGTTCTGTTGTAAGACAGTAACTGACTGAAGACAATGGTGGATGTGCCGCTCCATTTCATGGATTAGTTGAAGTTTTTTTTTCATTATGGTTTAGCTTTAATTGACTTATGATCTCTCAACTATTAAGATTATTGTAAATAGTTAAATTAGTAATTTCACTTAATTATCATCTAATTGATCAAAATGAAATTTATGAAATTATATTCAATTCTATTTGAGAAAGGAACTTTGATATGAATGAGAAGGTATTCAAAAATTAAGAAAACTTTTCCATACTCGTAATGATGATACTTAGAAACGAATGTCTTTTTTTTAATGACCTTGTGTAGGGATATGAAGTTAAACAAAATTATATTATGGATAAAAGGCTATTTAATTTCGTATAAACATAAGGGCAACAACAACAAAATGTTTTTTGGAGGAATTCAATTTGTGAAATGTGTTCCCGCTGTTATACATTTAAAAATAGTAACCGAATAAGAATACGTGCTTTGATAACATTATAATATAGAAAATATTTTTTGTATTATTCATTTGGAAATATAAATAAACAAACAAAAAAAGCAGATGGTTTCTTTTATTACTCAGGAAATTGTTCCCAAATTAAACAATGAAATATTGTGATGTATGTTACTTATATCCATATAATTAGTATATAGTCATGGTCGGGTATTGGATGTATTTTAGTAGAAGATCGTTAATGAAAGAACGGGAACGAAACGCAATTGGTATGAAAATGCATGAACAATTATAATTGGAGAAGATGGACTGATATTTGCAGAAGGAACAGTCAAGATTTAGGCAATATCGAGGCAATACGCACAGTATGCACACATGCCAATTAGAGACTGACCAGTTGCAGTCCTAACACATCGATGGGAAGATTCAGACAAACAATACTAAATGAATTTAAACTTCACTCCATCGCACAAGCAAGGGGATATCAGGACTCAGTGGCTGAGTGGATAATGCGATGGCGTTTGAAGCGAAAGCTATTGAGTTCGAATCTCAGAGTGAACATGAACTCTGAGATGTAGGTACATCCAGCTGACGAGTCCCAAATAGGACGAAATGCGCTTCAAACTGGATTCCACTGCTAGCCACTATTCATGTTTGCTTACAATTGGTTGATAGTTTGCAAATTAACTATTTACTATATGATTCTCATATTTTGCTGAAATATTCGGTAATTGTGTGCTTAAACACCATTTGTTTGTCCCCACTCGTCTTCTTGTTCACCATAATATCGCTAATTATCATTGTTTCTTAAAGTTAATTCAAAGTTTAAAATTTAGAAAATACTTTATTATTTTATGGTTACATTTACCTAAATAGACATTCAAACTAGGCTATTCACAACTCAGATAGTTAGTTAAACTGAGTGTTTGAAGAGTTTTTGATACATCAGAATCACACTTCATTCTATGGCATACAACTGTATTATGGTTATTCTGTCTCTGTGTATTACCATACAAAAGGGTGAATGTGTTCGAGTATTTATAAGATGTATTATTTGACCAATATTCACTTCAAACATACTTGACTAGTTACAGTTAACATAATGTTCTCATTGTTATATTCACATAGATTTGTTGTAATCTATTTCAATTGATAAGCTATTTGGATTGTGGTTCTATTTCAACATTATCAAAATAGAAACAGAATTGTGAAGATGACCATTTGATTTTTTGTTATTTAATTCGTTTCGGATTTATTCATTGATACCATTTAAATGTGTGACAGCTCCTTTCGACTAACAAGAGCTGAAACAATCTATCACAAACTTGGCTATAAAGTAACAGTTTGTACTACCAATAATTTCATAAGTATAGGTAACAAGAACATAATTGTTTTGTAACATCAGTTCCATTCGTATTGTAAAGTAATAGAAACTAATCCTTACAATACCTTTGCACATTTTGGTTAGTGAGTTAATGAGTATGTGCCACAGAATCGATAAAAATTAAGTCGCGTTGCAAAAAGAAGGAATAATTTTAATGATCATATTCAGTAATGAATTCGAAGGGGTGCCATTGCGAAAGTTTAAATCCAATTGAAGCAATTCAACAGTGAGCATATGTTGATTGTTATCAAAAGGGGTTTTCTGTGGATATTATAGTAATTTTAATAGTTGAGATCATGAGTCGTAGATGAGTACAGCTGAGGAGTCTCATGATAGGACGAAACAGCCGTCCAGTACTTCCAGGTTTTTCATGGTGTTCTAGCTGAAATTGACTAATGATTTTAACTATTAAGATTACTATAATAACTACAAAAATCCCCTTTTGATATTTACAATAAGCCGAAATATGTAAATCGGCACATTTTCATCAAATTAATACAATGTTAAATTATCTCATGCTAGAAATTTATTGAGAAGGGCAATCAAAATTGTTACAACCGAAAAGTGTAATTGAAAACCAAAAAAAAGAAAGAAACTAAGAAATGATAAATATCTTGAAAGTTAATATTTTTTTATGATTATTTTACATAGTTAAGATCATGAGTCAATTGAAGCTAGACCATCCTTGAAAACCTGAAAGTACTGGACGTCGTTTTGTCCTATTGTGCGACTCAGCAGTGCGCATCCACGATCCCGACTAGTGGGATTCGAACCCAGGACTTATATTATTATTGAAAAGATTTTGAAAAGTAAGGATTCAGGTATGAATGAAAAATCAACAAGAATGTTCATATATTAGTTAATTTACTTTATTAGGACATAGGAATATTGACGCAAGAAGGTACCAAATAGATATGCATCACATAAATCATTCGATGTGTGTGGAGGCTGGGATACTATCCGGGTTTTCAAAACGAAGCAGGTAGTTTTATTAGAAGGCCACAACCGGAGCCTTTGACCTTAAGGTCTGATCCACAAGGCAGTTGAACATCATGAGGACATGCAATCCCATAGTAACCGGTGACCAACGATTGATTCATATGCCATTTGTTCCCTCAGGATACTGTGCCCATGTTCACCATTGGTTTGGAATCAGGGTTTTCCAACTCCTAGATTAGTACCATAGTTTTAACATAACATCAAGATAAAGTAAAATGACTAGTACGAATTCTTAAATGATGCTAAGTTCGAGCTTTCTACAAAATAACTTGAACACTTTTAAATGTGTTCATTCAGACAATAAACGTTTTAAAACTTATTGTCTCAATAATATAATGCCTTCTGTTTATTTAAGTCAAGGAACATTTAACTACAAAAACGGGCATCCTAATAATTCTGCTCACTTTTAAAATCTATAAATCAAAGTACCATTAGAAGTATGTACAATATTTGAGAACTGTTAAGTAGACATAAAAATATCAGGATAACGCATTTTCATCAATACAGAATGGTATGTAGGTTCAGCTAATCAAATTTCGTTACTGTTCAAAATATAAAGAAAGACTTAACTCTTCATTAAAAGTAGACTATCTTTCCTAACTGTTGTAGCTACCTCGCTTAAGATCGTTTTTTTTTAATTTGTAGATTAATTTACCTGATCATACTAGCAATGTAGGATTTACTGACCAGTTGCAGTTCTAACAAATCGATGGGAAGATTCAAACAAACAATACTAAGTTGAATGTAGGATTTATTTACATTTATCAATTGAAATATGGAAACACAAATATATTTCATACAGAATAACTTTCAATATTAGTAGAATATGACTTGTTTTCAAATACCAGATATTTAATTTGGTTTGTTCGTAGTTCTAATTAAATGAGTACTTACCTGGTGAAAACTATTTATTTATCAAAGATGGAATATTCGATTTCCTACTAAGTTGAAAGTAACTTACATACTTACGCCTGGTACTCCAAATGGAGCATAGGCCAACGATCAGCATTCTATAATCCACTCACTCTGTCATGAGCCTTCCCTTCTAGTTCTATCCAATGTTTATTCATTCTTCTCATGTCTTTCCTCATTTCTCGGCGTAATATGTTCTTTGGTCTTCCTCTTTTCCTTCGACCTTCAGGATTCCATATGAGGGCTTGTTTTGTGACACAGTTGGGTGAATTCCTCAATGTGTGTCCTATCGACTTCCAGTACTTCTTCCTGATTTTTCCTCCGCTAGTATCTGGTTTGTGATCTCCCATAGTAGGTTGTTTCTGATAGTGTGTGGCCAACGGCTCCGAAGTGTGTTGCGTAGACAACTGTTAATAAACACTTTTATTTTCTGGATGATGGCTTTCATAGTTTCCGCCCCATACAGTAGAACTGTTTTGACATTTGCATTGAAATTTCTGATGTTGGTGTTGTTTGACAATTGCTTTGAGTTCCAGATTTTCTTCAGTTGTAAATATTCTTCTCTCTCTTTGCTGATCCATGTCTTCACATCTGCTTCAGATCCACCGTGTTCATCGATGATGCTGCCCAGATATGTAAAGGTTTTCACATCCTCCAGAGTTTCTCCGTCAAATGTAATTCGATTGGTACATGCTGTATTGTATCGGAGATTCTCGCTTTTCCCTTTGTTTATATTGAAACCTACTACTGCTAAGGTTGCTGCTACACTAGTCGTTTTCTCCTGCATTTGTTGTTGCGTGTGTGATAGAAGAGCTAGATCATCTGCGAAGTCTAAATCTTCCAGCTACATCTAGTTGAAAGTTAGAAGCTTATTATTTCTACATTTATATCATTAAAACATTTACAAACTTAAGTGATAAAATAAGTATCATCAGTTGAATTGTTACCGGGGGTTTCTAATTACCTTTTATTTTTAATCATCAATGGATATATATATTTAGTTTATGATATGATACGATGAAATTTATCATCTTAATATTCTTATTGTAGAGAGTGTTTAGCACTCAGAGATCCAGACTGTTATTGGAATAAATTGTTACAGAAATGTAACATTAATTCAGAAGGGTAAGTCAAATTATTACAGTTTACATCTCATATAATACATTAATCAGACTGTATACAAGTGAATAAAATTATCCATAAAGTGTGTGTGTGTGTGAATAAATTCGATTTTTCATTCTCTTAAAATTTGAATAAAATAACCACCATTTCACAACAACAAGACTGCAGTAATACTATGACTATCACTTGTACAGATACACCATGATGGTATTATACTCGTCACATGACTAGTAAACTGAACACTTAATAATTCAATAGCTAAGCTTTCGATAATTAGGTTGAAACTTGAGACATCATTTCGCGTAACTCGAAAATATCATAATTTTAGTATTACTTGGTCATCAATAATATTTTTGACATTGAGTAGGGTGTACAATTTATTTCGTTATTAATAACAAATCATTCGAGGCGAGGTCATGGATGCGCATTGCTGAGGAGTCCCACAATAGGACGAAACGGTCGTCCAGTACTTCCAGGTTTTCCTTTATGGTCTAGATTCAAATGACTAATGCTTTCAACTATGAAAATTTAAGTGTAATAATTAATCAATTAGTTAAAGATTATAAATAGGGAACTCATTGTTAGCAACTATGAATTTAAGGCTACAAGTTTAACAATACTTAAATTATCTTTATCATTAGACTTTTTCATAGTAACTAAGAAAACCAAGTTCAAACTGTTTAGTATAACTATATCGTTCTGTTTTCCAAAGCAGCACAATGATACAAAAATATCAATATAGCAAAAATAATAATCTTCTGAAATGCAAATAGTATGATGTCATAGGTTGTTCGGTAAGATTGGTTATCAATATAAAGTTACTGTAATAATCTTATTACTAACGAAAGATGATAAAATGGGGGATATTTTATGACAAACGACAGATAAGTATCCCGTTGATACATATATAAATATCTAAATAATATTTGTGAAAACGTTGCTAGTGCAGTAATCAAGAACACGAATGGGGACAATCGAATGTATTAGAGCACTCAATTACAGACTATCTCACTAAAATCTGACAACCTTACAGCAAAATAGTTAATTTGCAAACTATCAATCAATTGTCTCAATCTTTACTGTTCCTTATGGAAATATCAGTTCATCATCTCTGATTTCATTTTTCAATCATTTCCACATCACTTGCAATCTGTCTCCGTTCTTTCCTTGTCGATCTTCCACTGAAATACATTCTATGTCTGATCATCACTATATATTACTTATGTGGATATAAGTAACCCACACCACACTAATAATAATAACAAATGATTATCGAGTATGGAAGATAAGAAGTTTGATGAAGACCATGCTAAAATGAAAGACAAGACATGTTGAATTTTGAACACAAAAATAGTTTTGGATAGGCAGATTGCTGAAGGCTAACGTTTAGTTTGCTTTCATTTAAACTTGATATACTTTGCTATATGAATGAATTTTCGAAAGGATTTTGGTAAAGTTGTTTTGGTCAACTAATTTTTAGCACAAACCACATAACTTAATTATGAGCTATTATCTAAATGTCGTGACAAATTATGAAGCTAATTACCACAAAGGTCGAGCTAATGACCAGTGTTGCTATCACATTTTCCATCTTGCTTATCTTTCGGAGAAACGGAAGATGACTACAGTGGAACCCATACATTAAATCTGAAATGTTATAAAAAAATGGTGATTACCATAAAAATTGAGTCAAACTATGTGCGAAAGTCAATATCAGCTGACTACTGCTGATAACTATTTCGTGTACAACTCTTAAAAGTTCTCAAATTAATTGAGTGATAAACTATTGGTATATTGAATATATTGTACCGACAATACCTTAGTGAATGCAAACATGTTGACAATGAATAAAGCATTTGTTAGCATCATATTAAAAGAAATTCTTCTGGCGGTATCATATTTTTCTGCACAGTTAGAATGTCTACCTAGGTTTTTTAGAAATTATAATAATGTAGTTATTGAGATTTGATGAATAATGTAGTACCGTGCTTGGTTAATCATTCACTTTGATAACCCTTTATAATACAAATCCTAACGGTGCATAAAATCAGAGGGCAAAGGGAAGCGGCAGTACAGTATATTTTCAAATGACGCAGGCCATAAAGTTATAAGCACATGAATAAATATCAGCGAGCGAAACAAAAATGACGCGCATCGGAGATGGCGTGTAAGCCAACTCGCTTTAATCAAGCGTTAATCAATATTTAAAGTCAGACAAGCTCTCTGTTCTTGTTCTATTTTTCTTGAACTTGTTAATATTCTGCCACCAGACATTTCACTTTCTATGAATGATACATACTACTTATATCTGTTGACATCAGTAGCACACACCACTATATAAACATAGATAATCTGTTTTCTCTTAAACATTTAATTATCTTTCAAGGTTGAGTAATATTCTAACTGGTTTTCACAATGATTGTGGAGAATCAAAAAATGGTGTTGAATCGGAAATTCTTGAAAATTCTAAAAGTGAGTCAATTGAAATACTTATTCACATTTACTGTTTATATAAATTTATTGTCACACCAACTACACCAATACATTAACTTACTCATTTAACAAAGTTTATTGTAAGGGATTTTTATGTAAATTTAAGGCATATTATATTTCTTGGTAAGAACTGAGATAATTTTGGTTAGATTTTAACTTTTTTTTACGCAACTTAACAAATTTTATTCAATGTATTCTTTTGAGAAAAATGAAAATAGTAAGTATAGTATTCAGCAATTTTGAAAAAAAAAACTAGATCTTCAAAACTTTATCAATGATTGTTACATTTGATGACAGAATAGTTATCTTCATCCAATTTGAACTATTTTCTCCTATGTTTTCTTCCTAAGTAACTCTATACTGTATTATTTAATTTTGCGGCGAGACTAAACTAATATGGACAACCTTTGAACGAACTCAAAAATTAAAGGAGATACTGTTCTTTTACATGACTCAAAAACTTCTCAAGGTTAGATATAGGTTCATAAGTTTTAAAATCATAGTGCATCTGGTACAGGAACTCATCCATCTGGCTCCATAGTAGTCGACCTCTGGAGCCATGATAAGGTCTCAAAAATTCTTTTGGCCTGGACCACATAGCCTCAATGTTGTTGGTGTGTACCCTAGTTGTAGGGTCTACAAAATGGCACTTGTGTATGACAACTTCATGCACGTAGCCTGTAGTGCCGCAATTCGTTAATCGTTTACTTCGATAACCGTTATAATTCTAATCTTAACGGCGCGTAAAATCAGAAGACAAAGGATAGCAGCAACTACAGTTTATTGTCGAATAACTCAGGTCAGAAAGTTAACAACACCTGAGCGAATAATAACGAGCGAGTGAACAGGCGAATAAGCGAAGGAAGCGAACGAGGCGGAAATGACATGCAGTGGAGATGGCTGGGAAGCCAACTCGAGAGCGAGGCTAAAGATGATGTGTATTGGAGATGGCTGAGAAGCCAACTCGATTTAAGCAAGCGTTAACCAACATTTATAGTCGGACAAAAGTGAGTGACAGACATACGATGAATAAGATACGAAGTGTACACATATATGTTCATATAAAAGTATAGTCAAGGTTAATAAGCAAATGATTAACAAGATCAAAATATGACTCATAATGGACAGGCGAATTGGCTTGGCCAGCAACTAGAATAAAGTATATGGGCTTAACATATAAACTGATACTACAAGCCTAGTCTACTTAGGCACCTATTGCTCTCCAATCGTCTGTATACACCGTAGTCATCGGCAGCACATAATGCTGTATAGTCGGTATTAATGTTGGTGCCTGTCGGTTGCTGACTCGTTGGAAATGTTCATTTTGTAGTGATCTGTCATAGATTCCAAGGACCAGTGAGGTATATTTATGGAGGAGGTACTTACCCAAACTTATTTGATACTACGGCCACGGATGAATTTTCGTTTCCTTACAACTGTTTCGTCTATTTCAACGATCTTCCCAACTCCTCCATACGATTCGTGTACGCTTGTCAATTTTGTTGCGCAAATATCTCGGCAATACTCGTACCACTGAACTGACGAAACTCCACTGACATCGGCAAAGGTGGCAGCTAGTATAACTGGTGCTTTTATTATCCAATCGGCAACAAGGATCATAATTTGCCTTAACCTTAATTTTGACAGCGAAAAAAGTTCCTGTTCGAGCTGATTTTTTCTTCCAACATGAAGGGCATCGAAAGATAACATCATCACGTCAGTTTGCACACCGTACAGCGGTCATTTGACTACCACAGTCACAAGTAGAGGAACTTCTTAATAATCCCTTCTCTTGCAGACGTTGAGTTATCACGTGTTCCCTAGAATCCGCTGTAAACCGATCGTAAGTAAGCATCAGGTACCGAACTTAGCGCCGTGACCTTGAAAACCCGCGAAAGCTTCTGGTTGGCTTGGCAGTATAGTTTAGTCTCGCCAATTTTGCTACTAACCATTAGGTTCCAATGTGGTCACTTGTCTTACTGACTCAATATTACAGTGTTCTATTGTTTAAGAATTAAATGATAAGATTTCATTATTCGTAGAAATATACCATTTAATACAAAGTCTTTATTTTTGTCGTTTAATACTATGAAATGACTTTACTGACACAACTACCGAGAATCGAAAAGACGCTAGATAGCTGTTTCTTATTAACTGGGAATGAAACTGTAAATCCTCAGGCTTCCTAACAAACATTGGACCTCCATTGAGCTGTAATTCACTGGCTTATAATTCTTAATTGAACCAATTTAGATTTATATACTTGTAACTAAAGATTTTATTGTATATCCAGGGGCCCACATTTAGTTAATATGATAAACTTAAAGTTGTCTCCTTTTAATAAATCAAATTGCTTTATCAGAATTCTGTGAATACTATTTGATTCTCTTGAAAAAAGGATAGAATATGTCAAGTGTTTATACATTAATTTAAACATTCTTGCATAATCGTTCAATAAAACTTACTCACTTACTTACGCCTGTTACTCCAAATGGAGAATAGGCCGCCGACCAGAATTCTACAACCAACTCACTCTGTCATGGACCTTCCTTTCTAGTTTTATCCGATTGTTGTTCATTGTTCTCATGTCGGCCTTCATTTTTCGGCATAATGTGTTCTTTGGTCTTCCATTTCTCCTTTTGCCCTGAGGATTCCATGTGAGGGTTTGTCTTGTGACGCAGTTGGGTGATTTCCTCCATGTGTATCCTATTCACCTTCAGCGCTTCTTCCTGATTTCTCCCTCTCCTGGATCGAATCTGGTTTGTTCTCTCTCACAGTCGGTTGTTGCTGATAGTGTCTGGCCAAATCGTCCAATAAAAGCTAAGAAGTAACAAATTGAAAAGAATTTTTAAAATTTCTCTAATTTATTACTAATTTGAGTATTTTCCTTTTTTTCAAATTCAGATTTAAATCACATCCGAAAATCAGATTCATCTAAAATTCCAGTTGATTTACCAGCTAAAGGGAATTTTTCTACTGGATTATTAGTTCCATTTCAAAATATTTGGAACTTGTTATTCCCCGGATTTGTCGGCATTATTATCGGTTTGATTATAGGTATAATACTTTTTATAATTAGAAAAAAGTATCTAAAATTATCCCATTCTCGAAGATTGTCAATGACAACTAGCGAATCTACTACAAATGAATCATTTAAACAAATACATAATTTCACTCATAATCATCACCATAACTTTCCAATTCATCAATCTAAACAACTTCATGAAATATCAACTTCACATCTTAAATTTTTAACCAATTCAAATATACCTATGATAGATAATCGTGATTTGTTATTGTCTCAACTCAACAACCGATCCATTCCTTGTGGAAACCAAGCAACAATGGACACAATGAATACGAATAATAATAATAATAATAATAATAATAATAATATAGAACTATTAACTCCACCTAAACACCATATCCCTTCCAATTTACCATTTGAAGATAATCATTTAAATCTAATACATTTAAATTCAAATAAAATAAGTAATTCTCTTAGAAACTATTCTTCGAATAACAATAATGAAATGAAAGATTCAGAGATTACTACTAATAATATTGTTAGTAGTATATATAATGTTGATTTAACAAAAAATATAAAAAAATCAGAATTATTCACATTTCTACCATCATCAACATCAATATTACAATAACAATAAATATATAATTTATTAATTTTGAACATTGAATAGATATCTCAATGAGTAGAATTAGTTGGATTTTCTGATGTTTCGTAACTTAGTTTAAGTCACTTCTTCAGAGTTAATAAATAACCAAATTAAAATTAATCCAAGTTTAAATAGTACAACAGGACAATTTGATTATTTATTCTCTTTGAAGAAGTGACTTAAACTGAGTTACGAAACATCAGAAAATTGATTTTTTTTCTACTCATTTGGATATTACAAATATATTACTCATTTACAATTTATTATTCACCTTTATATACTACTTTTTGTTTAGTTACTATATATCTATATATAATAATGATTTCAATTATTTAAAATTAAATATTCCTTGTAAATAATTAATTAATATAAATACCAAATTAAAACCATAGTATTATTGATGGCAACAAACGGGTGGTTCTTTGTTTGTTTTCTCTTTTGTATTCTATGATGCTCGTCCAATTTTTTAAAAAGAAAAACAACAAAAAAAACAGTAAATTATTGATTAATATATTACTTACGCATAAGCCACCGACCAGTATTCTCCAACCCACTCACTTTGTCATAGGCTTTCCTTCCTAATTCTATACAAGTTTTGTTCATTTTTCTCATGTTTGTCCCCATTTCTTGGCATAATGTGTTCCTTGATCTTCCTCTTTTCGTTTTGTCCTTCAGGACTTCATATGGGGGAAAGCCTTGTGACGTAATTGAGTGAATAATTAATAAATAAATATTCAAATTTAATTTTTTTTATTCTTCATATCATTGGTAATTGTACAATAGATACAAGTAATAACTTTCATAAATGATTATTCATTTAATTTAGTTGCTATATACATATAAAATTAACTGTATTTGTCTCAGGTAACTATACTGACTGAATAGTTGGTAACCTATTTATTTACCTACGAACATTATCCATAACAACTATGATAAACTTAGGTTTGCTTTGTTTTCGTGTATATCTTTATTGTGCTTGCTGTGAATGTGACCATTATTACTATTATTATTATTATTATTACTATGTGTATTTTTTACGGAAGACAACATATTTTTGTGCATTTGGTAACTATTCAAAACATGAATTCTTCCCTTTCCCATTTTTTTCTTCCTTAATTTACTTTTACATGTTATGTAACTGTAATGTTACCTTTTTACTTTTCCTCATTGTATTACATGTAGTACATTAGGTTGGATTGATTATGTATGATCATGCTTATATAACTGAACTATTTATTTTGGAACAGTCCAGTTTTTTTACTTTTTACCTCAATTAAATGACTTTAAAATGTTATAATAAATAAATGTATAAGGAACACAATATTTTTTAATCTAATTTTCATCGACAAATTAAACTGGGGAAATGATATAGTTTATAATCTGGAGGCGTTTTCTGGATATTATTCCTAATTTTGATAGCTGAGGTCATTAATCTATTGAAGCTAGATCATCATGGAAAACCTAGAAGCACTAGACGGCAGTTTTTTTCCTCTTTGAAGACTCCTCAGCAATGCACATCCACGATCCCGCCTCGTGAGACTCCAAACCACGACCTATCAGTTTACAGTAGTGTTAATAATATTAAGAAATCTTTGGTTATAAAACTTGTGACTTCCGGCAATATCAAGGCAATCCGCACGCGATGCACATACGCCAACAAGAGACTGATCAATTTCATTTCTAAATATCAATCAGAAGTTACCAGTAAACAACACCAAGTGAATTTATATTTAATTGTTTGCTTTTCTTACATGTTGATTCAATATAACAATCGTAGTTAAGTGAAGAAGAAGAAGACTGTTAGTCAAAATTAAGAATTATGTTTAAACAATAATATGTTTCCTGTTTATAATGTAAAAAAATATAAAAAATAATATTAAAAAAAGTTAGACATTAACACCGTTGAATGCCGGCTCAGTGGTCTATCGGTTAATGGCTCTGGCTCGAGACTGGTTGGTCCTGGGTTTGAATCTCGCGAGTGCGGGATCGTGGATGTGCACTGTTGAGGAGTCCCATAAAAGGGTGAAACGGCCGTCAAGCACTGCTTCCAGGTATCAATGGTGGTCTAGCTTCAGTCGACTAATGATTTCAACTTTGAAAAAAACTTTAAATTATTTTTAACTTTATCATAGGGAAACAACAACAAAAAACTGGTTACTATCTAAGATTCTCATTACATCGCAGATTTAAATACTTTAGTTCGTTAATTAAATATATATAGCTTATTTGTAGGAAACAGATTTTTGTTGGTAACATCAATTCATTTGAGTACTGTTTATCTTCTTTACTCATTACCTAATTGAAGCGAAGAAAAGTTACCATATGATAAAATAATGAGTAAACGTATTCCTTCAAGTTCTTTTATATCATCGAATTACTAGAATGAATAACAGTATTAAATTATTTAGCCAATGTCTATTGAATAGATGAACGTCATGTATAGTATACAGTCAAGACCAATTAGATCAAAAAAAGCAAGAAATGTCACCCATTCTTGTTCAAAAATGATCCATAATCTGTAATTGAACTTACTTACTTATGCCCGTTACACCTCATGCAGGAGCATAGACCACTCACCAGGATTCTTCATCCAACTTTACTTGCAATTCATCCTCTCCATGTCTCCTTCTAATTCCGATACAGTGTATAATTTAGCCCTACACTTTTTTTTCATTTGAGGAAAAAAGGTTAGCGCATGCCTCGTCTTATAGTTTACTGATATCCGTAATGTATGTCCAATACACTCCCGACATCTGTTACTAATTTCCTCTTCATTTGGAAGCTGGTTTGTTCTCTCCCACAGTAGGTTGTAGCTGATGGCATCCGGTCAACGGATATTTAGTATCTTGCGTAGATAATTGTTTCTTAAATATTTGTAGCATTTCGATGATGATTTTGGTAGTTCTCCAAGTTTCTGCTCCTTACTGTAGGACTACCTACGACAATTCATTAACAGATTGTTGAAGAGGAAGTACATGTGTATGTAGCACTAGTGTAGATTAGTAACTGGAAGTCCACTTAGTCTAAAATTGACATACTATACAGGAGTTAAAGAATAAAAAGAGATTATACACAGTTCGAAAAGTGTTGGCAAATTAAAAAACAACGGTTATTTCTGAAGCATTTTAAGAATGGTTCACATTCACTAACACTTATCTCTTGTTATACACTAGTAAGATGTAAATTTCAGGATACTTAGTTTGAATAATACATGTACTTATAGGAGAATATCAGTTATAACTATTAGTGTCAAAAGTAGTGGATATTTAACCAATTATAAAGGGGATACCCTTTAAACAATAACATACATGAATCAGTAAAATAGATTGTATATTAAATTATACTTATATATTATAGAACTTACCAGGAAGAAAAGGTACTGTTTAAAGTAATCAACAAATTGAACAACAACTAATCGTCACGTCACGTAAGAGCTGGAATGATCACAAACTCTTGTTCATATAAGAGTTCATGGTTAGTCTTGAACGATGCTGAGAATTTAATGCTATCTTAAGCTCTCAATATATTTCTGTTGACCCATATCTTGTATCAGCAACAAGCTACTCTGAGAGACAACAAACCAGATTCCAGCAGAGGAAGAAATCAGGAAGAAGCTCTGGAAGTGGATAGAGCACACATTGAGGAAATCACCTAATTGTGTCACAGAACAAGCCCTCACATGGAATCCTGAAGGCCGAAGGAGAAGAGTAAGACCAAAGAACACATTACGCCGAGAAATAGAGACAGACATGAGAAGAATGAACAAAAGTTGGACAGAACTAGAAAAGAAGGCCCAGGACAGAGTGGGTTGGAGAAAGCTGGTCAGCGGCCTATGCTCCATTGGGAATAACAGGCGAAAGTAAGTAAGTAAGTATATCTTGTATCCACACTCGATTTTTACCATAGAATCTTTCTATACCAATGACGTTTCGTGATTCAGTATGAGCTAATTCTTCAGAGAATTCTCTGATTGGGATATAATAAACAGGTTATTTCTATTTATAACAATCTACAAAATTCATAATTTATTTGAAATTATCAAGTCAAACCTTGGTAATGACATCTATATTGAATTTCTCACATAGCTCCGTTGACCTATATACCTTAGCTCATTTTTTTGATTTTTAATACATAGTCAATCTTATAGCTTAACATATTGTTTTTGTCATTATTTCGAAAAAAACCCATATAAGACATGTAGTGAACAGAACACCGGTGGGGACAATCGAATGTATATAACACAACATTACACAATGTCTCATTAGAATATGAGAACGATATAGTGAACAGTTAGTTTGCAAAATAACAATCAGTTGTCTCAAGTTGAATGTTCCTTCTGCAAATATCCGTTCATAGTCTTCGATTATAATTGTTCATGCATTTTCATACCAATTACTTGCCATTCCCGTTCTCTCCTTATCGATCTTCTAATGAAATACATTCAATGCTGGAACATCACAATATACTACTACTTATGTGGATATCAATGACTAACACTACAGACATTACTACCATTTTAAACGTCTAAGTTTGTAGACTTTTTCTAATGTTGCAACTATTCTTGAAATAATAATTTAATTATTCACTATCTAGGATACAAATACATTTATTGTTAAATCACATTGTTTAAATTTACCTGTATTCATGAAATCATTGAGCTGAATTCACTCTATTGTTTCTTTGGTTAGTTAATGATGGGTACATTTTAGTTGCTATATGATTCAAATATCTGTATCACTAATATACACTGTAGTTTTTCTATATTAATCTGATCGGTCTTAAACAAGACAAATAATGTGTTCATCTTTTTTGAATTATTTTTATGGTTGGCGTATTTTTAGTAGGTTAGTTTTGCTAAACCCATACCAAACCCTCTACTTTTATCTGGTCTTAGGACCGGCAGTAGTCCCCGAAGGCGGAGTTAATGTGTTTATCTTACTATGAACAATTTTTAAAATATAGAGATTGTTGAAGTTTGACATTAA